TTGATTTCTTTCTAGGCAATTCCAGCTCTGTGGGTTCCCAGGCAACCCTACGTGTCTAAAAATACCACAGTTAGATACAGGGGCAGGGGCACATCAGTTCTACCCACAGAAACATTTCTAGCTTAAAGGTAAAACAGAGTTAAAAAAAAAAAGGAATATATGTGGTAACAAAAGGGAAGCATCCCACATGATTTAATTTTCTTCCAAATAATTCAACCCATGGGATCCCCATGGTAAATTCATATAATTTTCAGGGTAACTAAGAATCTTACTTTGCATAGGGAAATTAGGGATTCCAAAAGATAAAGATGAGGAAGGAGTATGTTTCAGGGCTAGAGGACAGCCTCATGCCCATGTCTACTAGTCTGTCTTCCTGGGTGCTATTAGAGTGGAAATCACTTGCCCAAGATTGTACAGGTGTTTATAACTATCAAAGCTTAACTCAATCCCAGGTCTTCAGATTTCAGTCCAGTGCACTTTTTAAGTATACCACCCTGTCCCAAGGGCATGAAGCCTATTCTAAAGCCCAGACTGGTCCTCCCTCTGTCCTTGTCCTTGCCCTTGCCCCTTTTAATAGTATAGCTCCTATTTAATACATCAGTTTAGGATTTTTCAAATACTATGAGGTGCAAGTGGTGTAAATATTATTCTGGTTTTGTGGTTGAGGAAGTTAAGGTTTAGCAAAGTTAAATGACTTGACTAAGGTCACAAAGCAAGTTAAATTAGGGCACGTACTCAAACACAAGTCATTTGAACTCTCAAGGGGGATCCCTCTTCACTTTTTACTCCTATGATTGACCTCTTTGGGTGTTTACCAAATAATAATAAAATATCTGTTTCTTTTTTCTGTGTAGCCCTCTGCCAAATCTTTCTCTTCTCCATCTTCGTTTCCCCAAAGTCATCACTTCTAACTACTAACTTTTTTTCCTCCTGAGACTCTCTAATCCCTGGCTCAGAAATGTTTTCCTTCTTCCATCCCTATCTCATCTTTCCTTGTGAAAAAATGGGTAACCAGTCATCCAGAATTTCCCAACATCAGATGCTCTCCTCCTTAGCCCAGTAATTTTTGGCTACCACCTGTTTTCCCACTAGACTTTGCCCATCCCTCACATTTCTAGACTCTTCCTCTGCAAGCATCAGCAACTTAGCAACTTTGGCTGTAAGCTCAGCTTGGTTTTGGTTTGTAGAAAAAGCAAGGAACTAACTTTAAGGTACAGTGAATGTTGACATCTAGCCAGAACACCTTTGGGGAATTGCTAATTACTGAGAGGTAATGGTGGCGACATACAGAGTATATGACTCAAGCTTTCGAAGTGTGAAAATGTTGGTAATTTAGACTGGTAACTAAGATTCTTCTTTTTTTCCCCCCTTAGTTTTTACTGATGTCTTTTATTTTTATCTTTTCCTTTCTAGATGTGCTTTTCGCCTTCACTCATCCACTTTACCTATTGAACTTTGCATTTTAACAAAGAAAAACAGCTGAGTTGAAAACAACCTTCACAGACAGCATAGTCAGCATTCTAAACCCCCAGTTTCCCACTATGCATTTATTCCTCAGTTCTTGGGGGCCAAGATCATTCAATACAGTTATAAAATATTTGGCTTCAATTTAGTGTTCTTTCCGTTTACATTATTGTAGTCCTTATTCGTATTGTTTTCCTGGTAGTGATTACTTCATTCTGCATCAGTTTGTATAAGACATCTTGTTTTTCTGAATTCCTCTTATTTATCATTTCTTAAGGCACAACAATATTCCATTATATTAATATACTATAATTTATTTCCAGTTCTTTGCTCCCACAAAATGTGCTGTTAAGAAATTCTAGTATTTATGAGAGCTTTCTTTCTGACTTTGAACTCATTGAAGCGTATGTCCCAATGTAGGATTCTTTAGTTAAAGGCTATAAACAGATGCATTTCTTATCTAATTTCAAGTTGTTTTCTAGAATGTTTATATTAATCTACAGTTCCACCAATATTTTATTATTGTGTCTTTCTTCCCACAATCCATGCAAGCATTGATTTTTGTGTATACATGTACATATTCTTTAGTTTGCTGGACATGAGATAAAACCTTGGTTGGTTTAATTTACGTTTTTATTATATATGCTGTGGACTATCTGGCCAGATGAATGACATCAATAATTAGCCTCTGACAAAGTTAGTTTATAATTAATTTTAAAACTACTATCCTTTGACCATTTATCTTTGGCTCTGGCTTTTATATATTTTGTTAATTCTCTGTATGTCTTGGGAAATAGACTTTTCAGAAATATGTAATTCAATAATTTTTCCCATATGAAAGTTTTCTAATTCTAGCTAAATTGATTTTGTTTGCACAGAAGCTTTTTAATTTTACGTATTTGAAATTGTTTATTTTGTCTTCTGTGATCACTTTTGTCCCTTATTTGATTAAGAATTCTTCTTAACCATTTATAAATGTGAAAAGTACTTATTCTAAGCTCTGGTAACTTTTTTTCATGATATGGCCTTTTGCATTTAGTCATATATTCATTTGATACTTACTGTTGTTTATGGTATATGATCCTAGTTTAAACCTACTTCCTGCCAAACTGCTTTCCAGTTGACCTACAATTTCTTGTTCAATGAGGAAGTCCTTTCCCAAGTTGTTAAATTTAGTTGTTTCTGATTCTTTTATATCTAATCTATTCCAGATGAGATTCTGATGACACAGAATATCAAGTACATTTAGTCAAATGTAGAATGCTAGTAAATATTTGTCTCAGCTCACCTTTGTGTGAATGTTCATTTGCCCCACTTTTCATGAGTTTTCCCAACTTCCTGAGTAATTCATTAGGGACTCTTGGTTGGAAGAACCTTAGCTTACATGGCCTTGAAAGAGTGGTTGGTCTCTTTGGAGTCCCATGAAGACCATGGGCAATGTTACCACTAGAGAATTCAGTTTCTTTGAATAAACATTTATTAAGCATTTACTATATGCTTATATACTATACTATACAAAAATGGCTAAAAGACAGTTCCTTCCCTCAAGGGCCTCAAAGACTAATGGGGGAGAAAATAAGTAAACAAATATGAACAAATGAGCTAATACACAGGATAAATAGAAAATCTTTTTCACAGAGGGAAGGCACTAGAATGAAGAAGAGTTGAGAAAGGTTTCCTATAGAAGGTGAGATTTTAGCTGAGACTTAGAGAAGCCAGGGAATCCAGGAGAAACAGATGAGGAGGGAGAGCATTCCAGGCACATTCCAGACAGCCAATGAAAATGCCAGGAGGTAGAAGATATGTTGCTAGAGAAATTGCAAGGAGGTCAGGTTCACTGGATCAAAGAGTATGTGGTGGGGAGGTAAGGTGTAAGAAAAATGGAAGAGGGGGAGGGAGAGCATTCCAGGTACATTCCAGACAACCAATGAAAATGCCAGGAGGTAGAAGATATGTTGCTAGAGAAATTGCAAGGAGGTCAGGTTCACTGGATCAAAGAGTATGTGGTGGGGAGGTAAGGTGTAAGAAAAATGGAAGAGGGGGAGGGAGAGCATTTTGAACTGAATTCCAAAGAGAAGATTTTTGTCTTTGATCCTGGAGATAATAGGGAGCCACTGGAGTTTTTTGAGTAACTTTCCCTTTAGTATGACAAGGTCTGTCCTTTCAAGAATGCCCTCAGGTTTGAATTGAACCTTGCAGAAGTTTTCCCTGTCCTTTGTAGATAATCACAGCAAAAACAGTAAGTCCCTCAATGCTTTCCATCCCAATTCCAGACTTGTAGCCTCTTAAATATAACTGAATAGAAATAAGGGATGAATCTCTTAACTTCTTAAGGTAAATTAGACTAGATCTGGGGTCAGGCTAGGAGCGAAGAACAATTTTTATATCTTTAAATACAACAAAATATTTAAAAATGTAAAAACTATCCTTACTTAGCTTGCTGGCCTTGCACAAAGAGGCAGTAGTTTGGATTTGGCCTGTTTACGTCAACACTAAATCATCTCTAAGGTTCCTTCTGCCTCTGACCTCCTGTGACTGAGCTGAAGGACTTGAGCATTCAACTTTGCAAGTGGAGCCAACAGTCAACAGAGATGTAGGCAGAAGCTCTGTGCTTCCCTGAAAGCCAATATTGCGCTTCTCAAAAAAACAAAATGTAAAAGTCACTTTGAGACTGCCGGCCAGAAATAAGAATAATAAGTAAACACCAGAGGTCTTTTCCAGATGCCAGGTTTCTCACAATGTGTCGTATTGTACTTCTAATGGGCCTTTGTAAGGAAAACTGATGCTGGCAGCTTGAATCAGATTCACCGGAGACAGTTCCGAGATTGTTGTTCAGTCTTTTTCAGTTGTGTCCGATTCTTCATAACCTTCCATTTAGAATTTTCTTGGCAGAGATACTGGAGTGATTTGCCATTTCCTTCACCAGCTCATTTTGCAGATGAGTAAACTGAGGCAAGCAGGGTTAAATCACTTGTCCAGGGTCACACAGCTAGTAAATGTCTGAGGGCAGATTTGAACTCAGGAAATTGAGTCTTCCTGACTCAGTCCTAGGTGCTTTATTCACTGTGCTAACTACCTGCAAGAATCCTTTGGATCTGGAGACTCTTTTGCCCTAAAGATTTCCAGAGACCGTGGATTTACTATAATCCTGCCACTAGAGATCAAAGCCCTGGCTCTTATAATAAGTTTGAAGTAGCAAAATGAAGTGCTATGTTATGTCTTAGCTATTGGGTAACACTTAGTGGAAGAGGTGACATTAGAGTTAAGTAGGGCTTTGTATTTACAGTTTATAAAGAACTACCTAGATTTTGTCTCCACACCTTGTGCCTGTTAGTGCTCTGCACACAGCAGACACTTAATAAATGAATGAAAGAATGAATAAATAGTGTGACATTTCTGATGAAATTTTTAATCATATTTCCAAGAACAAGTCAGGAAACCAGGAAAATCACATTTGTTTTCACTGAAGCCACTTGGGAGGAAAAAGAATGCTCCTACCAGCCCAATCAATCTTTCTGTTTTCTTTTGTCTTGTAGATGAACGGATCTGTTCCCCACCCTTCATGGAGCTCACAAGCGTATGTGGAGAAGACACCATGCAGCTTCTGGAGAAGAACGGACTGGCCTTCCCATTCAGTATGTAAATATACTTTTTGTGGTCCTAGAATTGTGTATATTGCCTACAATACTTTTTTCAAAAGTGCTGCAAACTTGCTGTAAACCTGATCTCTCTTCCTAGAGTCTTCTGGGCCTGGGCTGATGGATCCCATTCATTGTTCAGTGGAATAACATTGCTATCTTGGAAGTGACCATTAGTAATTTGGTGGCATTGGTGGCACTGAGACCATTTAAAAAGGAAACAGAGATCTGATACCTTTTCAGACTTGTGGGGGGCAGTCTTCCCCATGATCTGCATTCGGGTGGCATTAAGTGATTTGTGAGGAGCTCAGTTTTTGTTGGTGGTAATCTGTATGTGGAATTCTTAAGCAGTATTGTAAGCCCTATCTCTCACACTGAAGGCTAAAAACATTTGAGGTGTTAACTGACATTTATATCTCCTGGTCACGAGGCAATGTGTCTTCTGGGAAATCTGGTAATTTTAGTCACCTTTCGTAATGATTACATTCATTTCTTTTTTGTTTCTTCCCCTTGCTGATAGTTTGCAAAACCAGAGTGGCCCACGGCACCAACTCTCATGAGGTGAGTGAAAGACCGTGTGTGTGTGTGTGTGTGTGTGTGTGTGTGTGTGTGTGTGTGTGTGTGTGTGTGTACGCGTGCGCACATGTGCACTTCCTTCCCCTCTCCCTCTCCTGTTCCCACCTGAAACTTCACTTTTCTTTAGTTCTGGATCTGACAATGAGCATTTTCTGAGGTGGGAATCTTACAGTGATTATAGTCTTGGGCTTCAATCATTTCTGCACTGATAACTGGGAGGTGCTTTCCAAGTGAGGCCTTCCAGCCTCTACTTTAGGGTCGCCAGCTTTAGAAATAACAACATATTATAGATATGTTCATAGGTCGATGTGGAGATAGAGGGAGATGTGGGGAGCCAGTCATTCCATTTTCAAGCTGGAGAATGACAGTTCTTTTTCTTCGCTCTTTCTGGTTTTCTCTGTTTCTCACTCCACCAGTTCATTTTGAAAATCTGTTGTGTAGCAAAACTGTGCTGGGCCCTATGGGGGATGTCCTCAGATTTTAAGTCCTTGCCCTCACAAAGTTGACAGTCTCGTTGAAGAAGCAAGACTGACAGACAAGAGACAATTTGAGAACAGCAGAATACAAACTCTGTCTAGATAGGCGGGGGAAGGAGGAGGAAGAACTGTTGTGCAAATGGATTGCAAACCTTGGAGTTGGGAAACCTGAGTTCAAATCCTCCTTCTCAGCTTTTTGGAGAGGTCACTTTAGCTCTTGGTTTCCCAGGAAACTCTTCAGTCTCCACAGTTAAAAAGCAGGTGCTTATTTGTGCTGGCTGAGGGAGTTTCTTCCCTGGCTGTTCCCTTTCCCAGTGAAATCACAGGTCTGATCCAGAACAGAAATATATACATACATCTCCCTTTCCTAGTGTCTAAATCTATGTATGTATCAATCAGTTGATAGAGTATGTATATACTAACCATATATGCACATACACACTCTCATGCACCTGCACCTCAAGTACAAGGTAATGGAGTATAAACTTTGAGTGTTAGGGGACTTGGGAGAAAGGAGAGATAAGAGGGAAAGGATTCCTATAGGAGATAGATCCTGAATGAAATCTTAGAGAATGAGGAGCATTTGAGGAATCAGGAGATAATGAGAAAGTATTCCAAAGTGATCTTACGAATTATATTAGGAAAGGATCTTAGAGATCACCTGGTCCAGTCCTCCAGATTAGGGAACTTGAGGCTCTGAGGAGCAAAGTGCCCAGAGTTGTATGGCTGGCCCATAACAGAATCAGGATTCAAACCCAGGTCCTAAGGCTGTAGACTCTGTGCTTTTCCCACTGTGTCATATAGAACAGCATGAGCAAAGGCACTAGGAGTTTTTGTGGATATGTGGGAGATGTGGAGAATATAAACTTGAAAGTGTTGTAACTCAGATTTACATAGTTTGCAGGAATAAAGTTCTTTTGATTCTCCTCTGTAGCAGGATTGGCGTTTGGACAGCCACCCCTAATTCACTTTGTGTAGCCTTCATAAGAAGCTCCAGTGGCTCAGGGGGCATCTTCCAGCCCTAATGATACCAGGCACTTGTCACCAAAGCGGTGATTAGATGAAATTGGCTCAAGGATAGGGAGCAAAAACTTTCTAGCACAGGGCTTAATTGTCTCGCTGTGCTCTCTGCAGAGCTGTAGTTGGTTGTGAAGTTCTATTCTGAATCCAATTAGAGGAGCGTTCAACAGCTTTGGGCCTCTTCTCCTGTTCAGAAGCTGTCTGGGGAGCATTCTGAGGAATCCTGGGGGCCTCCACCTTCTAGCTTATTAGTAGAAAGGGCACAGTCTGTCGCTCAAAATCTGTCCGCACTAGCTATTGTAGGCTCCAGGCACATGCCTCTTGGGCTGCTGTCTGCCTTTTTCCTTCAGGCCCTCTGGCTTTCTCTTGTTCTGAGAGTTGTTTCAGACCCCTTGTTCAGGAGTTTTGAAGGTTTCAGAGCCAAGCAGAAGATTGAATTTGTTGACAGACTTACGTCCAGTATTTTTTCTGGGTCTTGTCAGAGTATCCTTTTCACATCAACACTTCTGATATCTTCAGTTTGACTGCCCCTTCAATGCAATTAATACTAATAATAATAGCTAATATTTATGTAGAGTCTAATATATGCGAGGCGCTGTACTAAGCACTTTACAGATATTTTCTCATTTTGATCCACGCAGCAACCCTAGGAGGTTGGTTACGTGCTATTTTTAGCACGTTTTATAGATGAGGAAACTGAGACAGAGGTTGTGACTTGCCTAGGGTCACATAGCTAGTAAGTGTCCGAGTCTGGATTTGAGCTCAGGTCTTCCTAACTTCAGGCCTGGTGCCATCTACTCGTCCTTCACCAAATAAGTTGGTTTGCTGTGACCAAAAGAAAAAATCAGAATTTTCTGATTTGGACAGGTTCTCAGAAGTCACCTAACCCAGTCTCCCCACTTAAGCAGATAACCCTCCCCATCACCCCAAGAAATGATTATCCAGTCTAAAGAAATGATTATCCAGTCTCAGTTCAAGATCTCCAGTAATAAAGAACCCATTGCCTTCCTTGGCAGTTCATTTCATTGTTGGATAGCACTAATAACATGAGATGTAACCAGTATAAATGTGAAGTCCTATATTTGAGGTTCAAAAAAAAATCACCTTTACAGGCACAGCATGGGGAAGGCTTGGCTAGATAGCAGTTCCTCTGAAAAAAGATTTGGGGGTAGAGTGCTTGATTTAGAGTCAGGACCTAGATTAAAATCCAAACTCTACTTCTTATTGCCACCTCTGGGGACTTGTACAAGTCTCTTAACTCCTCATTTGCAAAATTTAGAAGTCAAATCATGTTGAGCTTGGGTGCTACCCAAGGCTCCTTCTAGCTCTCCTTAAGCCTGTGGTATCTTTAAACCTGGAATTTGGTGAACTTTTTGTTAAATTGAAGCCAACTCTTCCTGGAAGATTTTGGATTTCTGTGATTCTCTGAAATTTTCCTTACATTGAGCCAAATTGTTCCTTCTGTTGCAATTAGTGCCAATTAGAACAAGCCTTTTTTATGTGTCCTTTTATGGTCCTTTAGATACTTGAAGTCATCTCTCATGTCTTCCCTTCTTCAGGATAAGCATTTCCAGGTCCTTCAGCTGTTCCCTATGTATCTGGTGTACAATTCTCTCGCCATCCTACTTCCTCCCATTTGAAAACATTCCAGTGTGTCAGTAGCCTTCTTTTAAAAAAAAAAAAGAAAAGAAAAAAAGTGGTACTTAGAGCTGTGTATCATACTGCAGTTTTCTTTGTAAGTCACTGTGTAGACAATCATTTCCCTGATTCAGGATACTGTGCCTTCATTGATATAGCCCATTGTCTTATCTGCTGGTGATGAAGAGATCTCTTAAATTTGTCTTGGCTGGTGCTTAGATGTTAGTCTCTCACTGGGCCTGACTTGAAAATTTTTACCTTGGCAGGCCCTGTAAATTACAGATTTCTGTTCAGCTGGCCTAGCCTTTGAGAGCTGAGGGAAGAGGATCAAATAGCACAGCGGAGAGAGTGTAAGCTGTGCCTTTCTCCTAAAATTTGTTTTTTATCAAACTTGAGTGTGGTTTATGGCCCTTTCATTCTCCCTCCCACCCCACCCCACAGCCATCCCCACGGACACCTGCCTAGGAAATCTGTTTAGGGTTTTTCCCCTCCCTCCTTCCCTTTCAAAGGGGATGTTTTTCATCTTGATTCTCATTCTGTCTTGGTACTCATTATTACTCGATGGTGTAAAGTTTCCATGGAAACCACAGTGTTATTACCGTGGGTGGATATACTTTGCTCAGACCTTCCCACTTTGCTCTTTCATCTCTCCTGGGAGTAAGTCCTGAGTCTTACAGGGCAAGGCACAGTGCCATGGACTTGGGGGCGTCACTATCTGGAACCTTATGTGAAACAGTTTATTCCCTTGATGACATCAGCTGCCTGGAGTGTTCCAGAGCTAGCATCAGTTTACATTTCCTGAGCATATAGGGACTGAGAGGCTGAGGGTTCTGGCGGGAGTGATAATGAAGAAAAAGATATTAAGGGCTAACATTTACATAGTACTTACAGGTTTTCAAAATGTTTCCTGTACATTATTTCATTTGATCCTCACAATAACCTTGAGAAGTAGATTCCTACAGACATTGGGGAAACTGAGTCACTGAGAACTTGTTCCCACAACTAGTAAATGTTTCCGACCAAGATGTTGATTGACACAATCACTCTTCAATCATTCTTAATTTCTTCATCTGCAGGTGAGGATAATAATACTCGTACAAGCTATCTTGATGGATTGCTGAAAAGAACGTTCTTTGTTAAATCTTGAAATACTATATAAATTTGAGTTATCATCGTCAACTCTCAGCTTAAGCATTAGACAGACTTAGGGAACCTGAGCCAGTGTTCAGATATGGCTGTGCGTGTATTTTGAGCTAACGGTAATAAAATGTTCGCATTTTGTAGTTGCACAGTATTTGTAAGATAATACTGGGGACAACGGAAAAGCAGGTAGAAAAGGGGAGATTGTAATTCAACAAAAGAGATAAGTTAATCAGCATTATATTAATCACTTGCTATGTGTCTAGCAGGGTGCTGGAGATAGAAAGAAAGGCAACAACACACAGCCCCTGCCTCTGCCCTCCCAGACATGCAAATAGCTATCTACATCCTAATTAGAGAGAGTAGATGGAAAGCAGTCCCAGAGGGAAAGCACCACCAAAAGTGCCAAAAATGGGAACTAAAAAGGCTTCCTGAAAAAGGACCAACAGTTAAATGGGTCATCTTGAGAGCTAGGTGGTGTCATAGTGCACAGAGTGCTGGGCCTGGAGTCAGGGAGACTCATCTTCGCTGAGTTCAAATCTGGCCTCAGACACTTAGTGACCTCGGGCAAGTCACTTAACCCTGTTTGCCTCAGTTTTCTCATCTGCAGAATGAGCCGGAGGAGGAAATGACTAACCACTCCAATAACCACTGGAACAAACTACTGGGAGGTAGTGAATTTTTTCAATTACTGAGGATCTTTTTAGGAGTGATTGGGTAAATTAGTTTTATTTGACTTTGCTCATGTATTAAAAGAATTTCAGTTTCTTTTTTCTAAGGAAGGGAATGGTAAGAAGGAAAGACAATTTTTGTTAACAGAAAAAATTTTTTCTTAATAAAAGGAGTGATTGGATGACCACTTGTTTGGGACGTGGTAGGAAAGGATTCGTGTTTCAATTAATAGTTAAATTCAATGTTACCTGATGTCCTTTCCAGTTCTAGGATTCTGATTTTATGCTAAATTGCCTTGAATATTTAGCAGGAAGGCCTTGCTTCCTGGGTGGTCAAGACAACCCCTTAAGCTGTGAGTTCTAGGATCTAGTTATGTTCTTCAACTGTGGACTTAATGAATGCTGAAAACAAGTTTTTTTCCTTTTGTAATAATTTAAGCATCTTTTTTCTTTTGTTAAAAATGTGCTTGTTTATCTCTATGTGCCCTGCCTCACCTTACCCAAGCTCTGGACCACATAGCTCGGGAGAGGCTACATATATGCTATCTGTTGAATTGTGAGATATACATGTCCATCACCCACTGATGGTGTCTGTCACACTCTTGAGTGGATAAATACACTGCCATACACATGTCTGTCAGACTCATTCATGCAGTGGCTAGTGAGGGCCCTGAGAATTCTTGCAACCATATGTCCCAGAGTTGGGAGGATCCAGTAAGAGAAGCGTTTTAGAGTGCTTAGCACAATGACTGGCAAATAGTAGATGCTATATAAATGCTAGCTATTATCATTATTATCATTATTCCTTAATATTAAATTTTTAAAATTATAATTAAATTAAGTATAATTGACATTTATATAGCACTTCAAAGCCTGCCATGTGCTTTATCTCATTTAAGCCCCCCATAATAATTATTTGAGTTAGGTAGTGCAACTTATGGCATTCCCCACTTTATAGATTAAGAAATTGAGTCTCAGAGAGGTTAAGATTGTTAACTCAGGGTCACATAGCTAGTAAAATGTTGAATGTAGAATTTGAACCGAGGTCTTCTGACTCCAAATCCAGGAGTTAATCTAGGAGCATTTATTAAGTGTTTGCTGTGTGCCTGACAGTGTGCTAAATAGTAGAGATATAAAGAAAGGCAAAAACAAGGTCCAATCCCTTAATAATGAGGCAGATTTACAAATAACTGTACATTAAAGGCCCTCTGGTAGAGTACTAGCTAGCATTTGTGGAGTGCTCTAAGGTTTGAAAAGTACTTTACATATGTTAATGTTAATTTACTGTGTTAATTAGTTCACAACTACCAGGTTAAACAGGTGCTGTCATCATTTTCATTTTACAGATTTGAAAACAGAAGCACTGAGAGTTTGAGTGGTTTGCCTCGTGTCACATAGCTAGGGGGTATCTGAGGCAGCATTTGATCTTGAGTTTTCCTGACCCCTGAGTCCTGCATTCTGTGTTCCAGCATTTGGCACAGTAAATGTTTATTGATATTGGTTGATTAATTGGTTGTTCTGTAGTTTCAACATTTTGTGTTCTGTGGCCAATTCAATCAGTCTGAGAGTGAATATGTCAGATTTTTCACTATGCTCTTTCCCCATCCTTAGTGTAGTGTTCTTTCTACTGCAGCATACTACTGCTTTTGTGATTCGGGCCAGATAAGTAATAGTAAATAGCAGTATCCTCCCACAATATAATGCTCTTGCCTTTTCATATTTGAAAGAAGGTCCATTCCTTTCTGTATGTCAACATGTGCTAAGATTTCATCTTTTGTTGCAACAAAATCATATATGTGGGAGCTGGCAGGTCATCATCAAATACAACCAACCTTGCTGTGCAGGAGAGGAAATATATGTAAGTTCACACGATGGCTACAAAGGACTGGGATGCATGCCTCCTAACTTGCAGCATTGCTCTCTTTTGCTTGAGGCTCTTTCCATACTTACTTTCTGTCACTCACTCACTGTTTCCACCTGCAAACAGCCCCGTTTAAGAGTTTAAATATTTTTTTGAGAGTAATTTATTGGTCTAAGGATTTAGCTTGAATCTAAACTAAGGTCTGCAGGCCTGGGGACATCCTCTTTGAGATGGGTACCCAGGAGAGAAAAGCATGCATATGTGTATATACCTACTTAATTGCGTATATATGTGTGTGCGTGGAAAGGAGGGAGAGGGAGGCAGGAAGGAAGGAAAGAAAAAAAAGAAAGGGGGGCCCTTTTTAGTATTTACCCATTGCCCTCCTTCCTCGTGTTTTTCTGGAGTATTTAATTGCTCAGGGCAAGTGTGAAAGAATATAATTTTTAAGAGCATTTTCCCCTGGTGCCTAATGTTCACTCTCAGATTATAATGAGCAATTGAGAGCAATGAGTTTTTGTTCTAGTCCTGTCCCCACCCAACCTTTGTGATTCTAGTTACCTGCTAGTTCCACTTACCTGCCTATATAATGGTAACCCAGTAAATCATGCTGGGTACCTGGGGATTTATATTCTCCAAGTTACTCTGCAATCCATAATTGTAAGACAATTATTATTAATTCTGTAGCCCTTAACAGAAATGGTCTGGTGTCTAGTGAAACAGACCTGCCAAGGTCTCTCAGGATTTGGATTTTATATTGGCTTGAGAGTTTCCAGATGTCTTGGAATTAGTCTTTTTGGTTCTGTTGCTTGTCTGTGCTGTATGATGCTGTTTGTATTAGTGTAGTGTTCCATCTCATTGGACATTTTTTACTGGGCTTCCCCATTCTATCCTGTGATTTAAAAATCAACCCAGAGAGTGCTGTGCTGATAGATGAAGCCCCATGTTGTTTGGAGTGATAAAAAATACCAGTAAGTTCTCGTATTTCCTGTTAGACAAAGAAAGCTAGTGGCATTTACTCTAATTTAAAAAAAAATTTCTATTTATTTTAATTTATCAATAATCACTTTCATAAGCTTTTGAGTTTTAAATTTTTTTTCCACCTCCCTCCCCAAGACAGCACTCAATCTGATATAGGCTATACATATACATTCCCATTACACATATTTTCACATTAGTGATGTTTTAAGGAAGAATTAAAACCAATAGGAGGAACCACAAGAAAGAGAAAACAAAACAGAAGAAAAAAATAGCAAATAGTGTGCTTAGATCTGCATTCAAACTCCATAGTTCTTTCTTTGGATGTGGATAGCGTTTTCCATCATGACATCCTTGGAGATGTACTACCACGGTGCCTGGAATGTGTTTGGTGCTAATGAATGCTGGGTGATTAAGATTTACCTAGGGTTTATCATTCATAAAACTCAACAACAGTCCTGTCAGGGAGATAGTATAAGTGTTATTATCCCCATTCTATCAGTGATGAAACTGAGGCTCAGAGTCCAGGTGACTTTTGAACATCTCTAGTAAGTGGCAAAGCCATGATTTAAAATCAGGTTTTATAGATCTTTGGGCAGGAGTTAGGTTGGGGAGCTAGGATATATTTATATAAGAAGCTCCTAAGTGGTGCAGCTAGAGCACCAGGTATTAATTCAGGAAGCCTTGATTTCAAATGTGGCCCTAGACACTTACCAGCTGTGTTGTCCTAAGCAGTTCACTCAGTGTTTGCCTGCCTCAGTTTCCTCATCTCAAAAATGCAGTTGATAATAGCACCTACCTCTCAGGGTGGTTGTGGGATATTTGTAAAGCACTTAGCACACTGCTTGGCATGTAATAAGTGCTATATGAATGCATCCCTCCTTCCTTTCTTCTCCTTTTTCCTCCTCCTTCCCTTTCCTCCCTTCTTCATTCCTTCCACTCTTCCTTCTTTCCTCCCTCCCCCCATTCTTCCTTAAAGGCAGGGATCTTTTTGGCCCTTGTTTGTATCCCCATCATTTAGCACAGTACCTGGCATATAGTAAGTACTTAATAATGTATGGTGCTTGAAATCTCCTTCAAGACTAGCTGTTTTCCTTGGAAGCTCAGCTCAAGCATCACATTCTGTGGGAGGCTTTTCCTGATATTCCCCCAGCTGCTAATGTCTTTTGGCATTATATTATATTTATATAGTATGTATTTACATTTTTTCTCCCCAGATAGAATGAAAGCTCCTGGAGAACAGGGACTGTATTTTTTTTTTCCGGGGGTGGGGGAGGGTTGGCAATGGGGTTAAGTGACTTGCCCAGGGTCACATAGCTAATAAGTGTCTGAGGCAGGATTTGAACTCAGGTCCTCCTGACTCCAGGGCCAGTGCTCTATCCTGGGCACCTAGCTGCCCCGAGGGCAATGACTCTTTCTGGTTTTTTGTTTGTTTTTTATATTCCTAGCACCTGGCCCATAGTAGGTGTTTAACAAATACTTGTTGACTGATTCAAGCCTTCCTGGATCCTTTCCCCACTTCTTACACCAAAATATGATCTCTTTCTCAAATTCTCCTGCAGCTTTGTCTTTCTCCTTTTCCACTCTCATACTGTTATTTTGTATCATGCTTATTTGTATACAGGTTTTAACTGCCTTAATTATAAGTTCTTTGAGACCAGATCCTATGTCATTGTTGTCTTTGTAGCCATAGTGCCTTACATATCTTTTTATAAATATTATGTATGATAAATGTCCTATTAAGTTAGTTTTATTATCTAATCCTTTTTATATACCTGTTGTCAATCAATAAACATTTATTAAACACCTGCTATGTGCCAGGCAGTGTACCAAGTGCGTCACAAATACCAGATGTTTAATAATCATATGTTGAAATAAATGAGGACAGAATTGAATTATTTTTCTTATTTCATCAGATGGCCATCATCTTCAACCAGGAAGGCCTCAGTGCCATCAAGCCCCCCTGTGTGATTCAGAACTTCATCAATCACAATGCTGTCCTGTACAAGGTGTTTGTGGTAGGCGAGTCCTACACAGTGGTACAGAGACCATCTTTGAAGAACTTTTCTGCAGGAATGTCAGGTAATTTATTCGAAGGCCTTTCACTCTATTGACCATTTAGGACGTGTGTGTGTGTGTGTGTGTGTGTGTGTGTGTGTGTGTGTGTGTGTGTGAATGAACACACTTTTAGGATCAGGCCACTAAAAGGATAGCATCTCCCTCTCCTCGATTATTACTCAAATGGTGAGCAAAGGTGATCCAAATATGACAACCCTCTGTTCTTGAGTACGTGTTAATCAGGATTCAGCAATATTACCATGGCTCAGAACATACCTGTGGGTTCATATCTTGAGAAACCTGTCTTCAGAGCCTGCTTATTAGCTAGAGGAGAAAGGCATGCTTATCAGTCTATAGATTTAACTTTTTTTTTTTTATGCCAGAGAATTCCTTGGCTTGAGCCTTCAAGCTTATTCACCACACTTGGCTCAGGATGGCTTTTGGCCATCCAAAAAAAATCAAATTCACCTTCAGAATAAAATTTACAGCCATTAAAGAGATTTCAGATTTACCTGAATGAACAGGAAGAACTTATGTGTTTCTGTATCATTTATTCAGTAATTGAATGATGAGAAGTCACAGGAGCAAGAAGGCCAGGGGAGGCTTTTAAAAATTGATCTTTGAGAGATAGCAGGGAGAGGGAGATGGATGACTCACTCACAAGTATAATTGTTAACTGTATTCAGTCTTGTCACACACATTTGCCACACACATTTGCTTATTTAAGATTTGGATGTATGATTTCTTCAGTATATAGAACTTCAGGTATAGAAACTCCCCTTTTGCAGATAGTCACAAGTCAGCAACAAGCATTTAGTCAGTGGTTGCTTTGTGCCAGGTACTATGTTAAGCTCTGGAGATACAGAGAAAGAAAGGCAAAAAACAGTCTCTGCTCTTCGAGTTCATGGTCTCATGGAGGAGAAAACATGCAGACAACTTTGTACAAACTACATACAAGCTACATGCAGGATAAATTGGAGATAATCAACAGAGGGAAGGTATTAGAATTAAAAAGGACCAGGAAGGGTGTGGGATTTTAGCTGGGACCTGAAGAAAAATCCAGGAGGTGGAGAGGAGAGACTTGGGGAACAGCCAGAGAAAGTGGCCAGAATCATGAAATGCAGTGATTTGTTCAGCGTGGTTAGGTGGGGTAGATGGTTGGGGAAGGATAAGGTATGAAAAAAAACTTCGTATCATTTAGAAATATTCAGAAATTGATTGGGCTAGTTGTTTTGTTTGTTTTTTATTGTTTTAATTGGCTGTCTGCAAAAAGAGACTGGACATTCCCTTGGGAGGAATATTATATGGGTTTCTTGTTCAGGTGTGGGTTGAAGGAATTAGATGACCTTTGGGGTCCATTACACTTATGAAACTCTTTGATTCTCTGGCATTTATAAAATGGCTACTCTGTGCAGAGCTCTGTAATAGACACTGGGAAGAAATACAAAGTTTAGTTAGGTAAGGTACTCATTGCACTGCCTTCATGAAACTTAAAATCCAGATGGGAGTTAAAGTACAAAGATAACTATAATACACATCTTATGCTGTGTATATTCTCAAAATGAGAAACCGTTTTTTATGCAAATTCTAAGAAAGAAAGCAATTACTGACAAGAGGTAAGGAGGCTGGTATCCATGAAAGGCTTTGTAAATCAGGTGATACTTGACTTAACAAACTTTTAAATGAGTAGTACTTCAGCAGGCAAAGTATTTGGAATGGAATAAATAAAGGCTCGTAAGTTTAGAGCTGCCTCATTTTACAGATGAAGAGTTGGCAATTTAGCAAGAGCCTATAGTTGAGCTGAATAGGTATCATATCTCCTTTCTAGATTTTAAGTTCTCTAAGACCAGGAATTATGTATCTACCCACAGCAATCATTAAATCGTTGTTGGGTTACACTGACTGTGCTTCAAGCTAAGGCAGTCATTACCAAGAGCATCAGACCCTGAGGTCAGAGACACCTGAATTCACATCCGTTCAGACTTAGATATTTGATAGGTGTGTGACTCTGGACAAGTCACTTAATCTGTTTGCCTCCTTTCCTCATCTGTAGAATGAGGATAATAATAGCACCTACCTCCCAGGGTTGTTGTGAGAATTAAATGAAATAATATTTGAAAAGCACTTTGTAAACCTTAAAGTGCTGTATAAATGCTAGCTATTGTTAATGTTAATGATCTGAGTGTTGACTGATCTAAAGAGAGTTATATTCCTTTGTGCTGTGAGTGTGTAAAAAACAAAACGATATACTGGCTTTCAAGACAACTGATAAGTCACTTTTAAGGGGAAATCTGGAGCTGGAGCTTTCTACACTTACATAATATTCTTATGTGCTTTTTTTGTCAAAGATCTTTCTAAGCCCCTAGATTCCATCCCATTGGAACTTCCTGCCCCTGTATGGACCTTGCTTGGTCCCCCCAGAGTCTCTTAAATTAAGTGTGGCTGTTTTCTCCCCCTTGTGTTCCTCTCAGCTGTCCTCTCTTGGCTGATCCTTTCCTGCAGCACACATACACAGGCCCAGACACCTCACTGATGTGAAATAGCCTTCTCTTCACACCTATGCCAGCCCAAGTCTGATTCTTCAGGGCCAGACATGGGAAGAAAAGAAATGGAAACATGATGAGTAGACAGGGAGGTGAGGCTTTTGAAATTCAAGAGAAAAACAAGAAAACTTTATTTCTAGTGGTTCTTTTTTTTTCCCTTCCTAGGCTTTCACAATTCCAAATATGCCAAACATGATCAGTTTACCAGTACAACTATATTCACACACATTATTTGTATTTTCCACATTGTTTGTATTTTCCAGAGACAATAACGACAAACTTATTTTAGATTTACAAATGTCACCTGGCATTCTGATGTATAGTGAGCACCACAGAAGTCATAAAAATAATATCAACCATCCTCCTCCTCCTCATTGTCATTATCATCATTATTATTCTAGTTGTAGTAGTAATGGTAGTGGTGGTTGTTTTGTTGTGGTTAGTGCTAAACTCAGGATCTGGAAGGTTTGGGTTCCAGTACTGCCCAATGCATTTTAGCTGTGGAACCCCTAGGTGTCTCTAAGGATGTAAGTTGAAGAGAAAGTGCCGACTTCCTCTCTAGGTACTCCCTACGTCCTAGCAGTTAGCACAGTGGCTGGAACGTAATAGGCATTTGATAAATGCTTGACGACTGACTACGTGGCTGATGGCACAGTGTCAGTTAAAGAGGTGGGGGAGAAACATTTTAAAACGTATTTGCTTCCATTCTCCTTCTCCTTTGTACCCTCACAGTTGTCCCTTTTCAAAGAAAGTTTTGGTTCTGTCAGAAGTCTTAACATTTACAGAAATTCAATCTTTCTCCTGAAGTGCCATTAGAAGCGATAGATATCAGGGGAGTATTGTAGAACAAATGGTATCTCACAATTCAATGCAGTCCTGTCGGATTGAAACCTTGTTTTATTAAACAAGGTTCTGTGTTTGCTGGCTCTTTATAGTTTTATACTATTCTTGGTACTAGCCATAGCCATTACCAAGTTGTCTTAAGTTATATAAAATTGAGGACAGAGTGGCAGGGGGGGACAGAGACAAATGAAAATTATTATATTCTTATGTATCTGAAAGAGCCCAGTACTAGATAGAAGTCAAGAGATTGCATTCTAAGACCAGTTCATAGAATCATCCATCTTGAGAGTTCTTAACCTTTTTGGTATCATGGACCCTTTTGGCAGTCTGTTGAAAGCTATAGCCTCTTCCAGGATAATATTTTTAAATGTGTAAAAATGCATAAGATTACAAAGAAAAACATTTATATTGAAATACAGTTATCAAAAATAGTTCATGGCCTAGTTTAGTTTTTCTCAATTCACATGAAAATAAGACCTAGGGAAGGGAAATGACTTGCCTTTGTTTATAGACAAAGGCTTTCAACAGACTGCCAAAAGGGTCCATGATACCAAAAAGGTTAAGAACTCTCAAGATGGATGATTCTATGAACTGGTCTTAGAATGCAATCTCTTGACTTCTATCTAGTACTGGGCTCTTTCAGATACATAAGAATATAATAATTTTCATTTGTCTCTGTCCCCCTCAGAGAATACCTTTTGCTAGTCACTTCCCTCTCTAAAATGAGTTTGGACTAGAACTCATATAATCAAGTTGTGTCCCTGGTAACAAATTGTAGGCTGGCCAAAATTTTTAGTTTTAAAAAAAAAAAAAGTGTGTCTGTATGTCTGTGTCTGTCTGTCTTATTAGCTAGCCCTAAATAAACTAATTGGCCATTTGGATCTGACTGTATGCTTGTATACTTCCAAGTATCATTGGAACACCCTTGAATTAATTATTAATGATCATAATTTTAAAAAATAATGGTCTACACACGTGGGTTTCTGAGCATATGATCCTCCTGTCAAAAAAAATTGAATGCTCCTATGCTAGATCACTCCTAACTTCTTTTCCAGTTCTAACATTCTTAGAATTTTAAGTAGTCACAAGCTGAATAACTTCCTCACTTTGTGCGTGCCTATATCATCATAGTTATTGATGAATATTAATTTAGTGCCCAAACTGTGTGTATGTTTACCTTTGCCCAGTTTTGCCATCACAAGGCAAAACCCTCCATTTAAACTATTCCTCCTGAGAAGTCTGTTGAGCAGAAGCAGGTATGGTGTAATGGACTCAGAATCCTGAAGAGCTGGGTTCTAGTCTTGCCTTTGACCCATACTGGATGTGTGCCTCTCAAGTTGCCAAGAAGGTACTGATCTGCACTGGTAGAAGGAATTTCCTCCTGAGAATTCTCTGGGCCAATCAAATCAAGTCTGGCTCCTCCTCAGGGCTTTCTTTCCTTATTTATTCGTGCCGCTGCCTTTTGTGTCATACCTCACAGCAAGAGCAACGTGGGCCCTGAATGGGGTAATGTAGTCTAGACCGGTGTGAGATTATAGAATTTGCGGGGAGGACAAGTTTGTTCTTATGCTGAAAACTCCAAAGTATGGCAGGGCCTGTTGTAGATAGCATGAGAATCATGCTAAATGTAGCAGCTTGAGACTACCCTCTGTTTCAAGGGACTCCTCTTGAGAGCTTGTTTGTCTATGATCGCGAAGCCTAAGGACTGGAACTGTGTATCATATTCTGCACATAGTAGGTACTTCATACATTGTATTTTTAAATAAACCTGATTAGAAACCAAGCTGTCAGGGCAGTTAGCTGGCACAGTGGATGGAGCACTGGCCCTGGATTCAGGAAAACCTGAGTTCAAATCTGGCCTCAGACACTTGACTTACTAGCTGTGTGACCCTGGGCAAGTCACTTCACCCCATTGCCTTGAGGAAGAAAAAAAAGAAATTAGGCTCTGGGGTTCTCTGCTTCAGAACCAATGCCCCAGAGAGTAGAGTTATACATCTTACTCCTTATTTCTCTCTTTCTCTCTTCTGACTTTGGTCAAGTCCTTCTTTCCTTCTCCAGACATTGGTTTTCTTATCTGTAAAACAGGGACTATACTACCTTGCCTTTTCTGCTTCTTTGCTTCTCTGGTGCTCTCCCTTTCCTGGTCAGACAATTTGCAAAGGGACTTAGAGCTCCTTTAAGAACAGCTGTGGCAACATGGCAGCAGCAAGAGAAAGGATTGAGGCAAAGAGATAGAAAGAAGAGTCAGTGCTCTCAGCTTGTGTGTTCTGTGAGAGTCTGGGACCTCTGGCGTGGACATGGGCTGTCATCATCATCACGACAAGCATTCATTAAGCTTTCGCTACATGTCAGGCACTGTGCTAAGCTCTGGGGATGTAAAAGGAGAACAAGCACAAGGTCCTTCCTCACGAGGTGCTCGCATTCAAATGGGGGAGACAGCATTTGTCTTGCCTTGTGTTTTAAAACAGAGCTAATGTGGAAATATGTTTTGCATGACATCATACATACATACATAATATATATATATATATATATATATATATATACATATATATATATATATATATATAATGGGTATTGTGTTTCTTGTCTTCTCAATGAATGAGGGAGGAGAGGGAAAGAGGAAGGAATTTAGAATTTAAAAAAATTTAAAATTCGGAATGAAACATTTAAAAGCATTTAAAAGGAATTCACACTCCTGAGTAGCAGTAGAATGGATGGCATTACCAGTTCAGTTTATGAAATGCTTGGCAGGTTCACTGATGCAGACGTTTGCAAGAATGTCAATCTCTTAATATAGTCATAGGATTTTAGAATTGGAAAGGATTTTGGAGATCACCTGGTCCAGCCCTTTCCTTTTATAGATAAGGAAAGGTGAACCCCAGGGGGAAAATGGTTTCCCCGGGGTGATACAGCTAGCAACTGTTTTACAGAGCAATTGTTTTATTGGATTTCCAGAGTGGTCTCTCTGCCGCTAGTCTTCCACTTCTCCCATCTGTCTTCTCCCAAACTGCCCAAATAATCCTGCTAAGGAGCCTATTTCATCATGTTACTCTGCTTCAGACACCTTCAGTGGCTCCCTGTTGTATTGACTTCAGTCTGCTTTTCTAGCCATATTTCACATTGCTTCCCTTCACTCCATCCACATCATTTTCTTCTCTATTCTTCTGTTCCGTTCTTCCCTAAACTTGATATTTTATCTCTTCCCTCCTCTGCACGTTTTCACAAAGTGTCTTCCTTGCCCTGAATCCATCTCCTCCTCATGTCTCCTCTTCTCAGAATGATTATTTCCCTTCAAATTACCACCTTGAATCCTTCCCTGATGTGTCCGGTTTTTAGTTCTTTCTCTGTCTTCACATTACCTTTATTTACTTATTTATCTTTGTGTTGTATCCTTCCAAACTCTTACTGAGGCTGCCCGTTCCACTTTTCCTTTTTCCTTGTTGGGACATTATCCTTTAAATGAAACCAGAGTCTGCTCCTCTATGACTTCTACCTCACTGCTTTCATTTCTGCTCTTTGTGATTAAAGAGAACAAATCTAGTCCTTCTCTCATGACAGCTTTTTAGTCTTACAGATTGCCATAGTGTCTGTCTGTCTGTGCCCCCTCCTGGTCATAAGTCTCCAAACTAAAAATCTCAGATTTCTGCCACTTACTGTCATTTGTCACGCTTTACAGTCCTGTCATCATCATGTTCACCCTTCTAAACATGCTGCACTAGGTCGGTGACCTCTCTTCTTTCTCTGGGTCTCAATTTCTTCATCTGATCTCAAAGGTCCCTTCTGACTCTTAACATTCTCTGTTTCTCAGGTCTGGGCATCAGCCATGACTCTGATGCCTATCATGTAACCTTGGGCTTTAACCTTTCTAACCCTCAGTTTCTTCATTTGTAAATTGGAGTCAAAGCTACTTGGTGACCTACATAAGGTGCTACACATAGTTTGTGTATTGTTGTTAATTTTGTTATTCCCTAGGGCCTTGAGATATGAATAGCAGATAATCTAGGCTTTTTTGTAGCTGTGACTGTTCTTTGATGGGTAACTGGATGTTTGTATCCTTAGTCTTCAGAAAATAAAGATTCCCTGGGGCTGCTGGAATGAACAAGGGAGAGAGGTTAGGAGTAAGAGGTCTTCATATAATGGTGGAAGATAATAGCGAATAATGAGAAGAGCAGCATTTGGAGTCTGGAGAATTGCTTTCTCTAACAGTAGTTACGCTTTTGACCTTGACCAATCATGCTCAGCCTTATTTTCCCTATTTGTAATATGAGGATAATAACACCTGCCCTGCCTCCCTCACAGAGTTTTTGGTAAGAATTAGTGAGAATAAACGTGTAAGAATTTTTGTAAAGCACTCTTATACAGTGGTTATGTTCTTGTGTCCAGTGCTTCCTGACCTTCTGGGCCTGTGGCCTGTTGGAGGAGGCAAAGGTCTGGAAGATGCTGGAACATAGTGTCTGTGCTTGCCCTGGAGGGTTTTTATTTTTCTCAGTCCGCCTGACAGGCAGCCCTTCTGGACCATCTTTCATGCCATCCGTTCGGAATGGCTCTGGAGCGAGCCAGAGGAAGGTCAGGAATGCTAAGGCAGCAACGTGCCTTGAAGCTTGGCTAGCGAGAAATGTACCAGGTACCTTTTCCAGACGGAGATTGGCATGAACTTAAATCAGTTACCTACAAATCATTTCGCCAGCCCAGACACAGAAAAGTCCTTAGTGGGTGATGAGTGTGGGAGGAAGGAAAAGAAACTGACTTAGGTGAGAATGTCAGTACTGCCCAATGAACCTTCAGATTGCAGAGGTGGCCCCCGCATCTCTCTTTGCTGGATAATGGATCGTTACATAAGAAACAGCACCCATTTTTACATTTCTGACATTGTCAGCTTGTGAGAGAGGGAGGGATAAGAATTGAATATGGGTACGCATGTGCTTTCTCCGGCCTGTATGCATAGATGTTTACATGTTCCTCTCAGTTATCCAGATAGATATGGTGCCCTGGGGCACCATAGAAGAATTGTTGGGTCATGGGTTAGCTGTTCAAAAACCAAGAAAGATAGAACAGATACAGAGGAAGAGTGTGTTGTCTCTGTGTGTTTTGCTTGTAGATTTGTGAGTGGTCTTCCCAATCAAAACACCAGTGATTTGGGGATCTTGATTTCATGCTATTTGAAGCCTGTATTGTGGATTTTTTTCCCCCCTGACCTGTACCTAAATGTCAATAATTCCATCTCATGTTTGTATAAAGTACTTGCAGACAGAATGAAGTCCTACAAATATAGCTGTGAAAGGCCTGACCAAGGAAAGGTAATGTGGCAAGTGGGAAAATTCAACCAAATGAGATAAATGACTGAGGTAGAGATTCATTTAAAGTGGTCCTTCTGATAGCATAATATTGTGGAAGAAGCCCAGGTAATAGCACCAAAAGACCTGTGTTCGAATCCTGGCTCTACTACTTACTGCTTTGTGACCTTGAACAATTTATTTAACTTATGCTTCAGTTTCCTTATGTGTAAAGTCAGGGAGGGGGTTGAATGAAATTTTCATTAAGGTTCCTTGTAGTTTCAAAGCCTATGTCAGGGAAAAAAAACAACATGAGAATATTTTTGGGCAGTTCAGTATGTCCTTAATATGGAAAAGTGGTCTTCTCCTTTGGGTTGAGGAGGACGTCATTTTCCAGGGATGGGTAGTTAAGGACTTAGTGAGCAACATTTCAGTGAAGGACCTGGCAGATTGGTTGGTCTGCAGGATTGGCTGGATCATACTGCCCCCTGGTGGTAAATGTATAGCCAACCTACTCCTTTAGAGGAAAGCACTGTAAAGCACAGCCAAAAAGAGTCATTGACTCTGACCCTTTTCTTTCTTTCTTTCTCTCTTTTTTTTTGTCAATTTCAGACAGAGAATCAATATTCTTTAACAGCCACAACGTGTCAAAACCAGAGTCATCTTCCGTCCTGACAGCAGTAAGTATCTCTCTTTCCACCGCTGCAATTAGCCGTGTACGTGAATGCTTTCCTGTTTTTTAATGTGTGGAGTACATTTTCTAGGATAGAGTCCAGAAGGCTGAATGGTCATGTGGGAAGTTAAGGTTAATTGACTACTTGCAAGACAGTCACAATTTAAAGTAGGCTTTATTATTTGCTTTGGACTTTCTCCCTAGCAACAGTCATTGCAGTATCCAAGCATTATGAAGCTGTAAGGAGCAATAATGGATACCCTGGGAAAGAATATATATAGTTAGGGTATTTCTCTTTTTGAATTGCTTTTCTATCTGTGAGCCACAGAGTAATTTGGTGCAAGCTTTTTGCTCTCTATTTTCACAAGATTTTTTTGGGGAAAAGAAATTAACTTGATTTTTTTTTTCTCCTCTCCTCATATCATTTATGTTTCTCTATTACCATCCCTGGACAAGTTTCCTGGGTTCTCTCCTTTCTAAGGTCTTGAGCACCAACAGATATACATTAAATAGTTAGCATGTGCCCTCAGTGCTGGGGGAGATGAAGATAAATAAGATCCCTTTCCCTCATGGAACACAGTCTAGTAGTACTATAGCGCACACAGGCGCGCGCGCGCACACACACACACACACACACACACACACACACACACACACACTCTCTCTCTCTCTCTCTCTCTCTCTCTCTCTCTCTCTCTCTCTCTCTCTCCCTCTCCCTCTTCCTCTCCCTCTCTCCCCCCCCTCTTAGAAAACCTGGATTTCAGTGCCAGCTCTGCCACTTAATACTTCTCTGATTTTGGTCAAGTTATTCTCTGGACCAATTTCCTTACCCACAAAATTTAGTGTATTGGTCTAGGCAATCCCAAAAGTTCTGTCAGTTCTAAATGTTAATATGCCATAAACTGTGTTAGAAAGCAATACATGATAAATGCATAAGAGGCACAAATCAAATGCTATATGATGCTTTTGATTTCCTGTTTCCAAGCAGGCCTGAGTTGTAATTGAAAGATGATCTTAAGGATACGAGCATGTTATATAGTTATAAAAGAGTTAGACAACATACTTGAATTGGAGTCAGAAAGACTGGTCTTAAGTCCCAAATCAAAATTGGTAATGGTAATAACAGTGATGGTATGTGTAATAATAATAATAACAACCAGCACTTAAAGCTTTAGTAGTTGCAAAGTACTTTGCAAATACCTCATTTTACCCTCACAACCAACTTGGACAGTAGGTGCTATTTTCATCATTTTATGAGGTAACTGAGGCAGAGGTTAAGTGATTTGCTTAGTCATCATACAGTAAACATCTGAGGCTGGATTTGAACTCAGATCTTGCTGTCTTCATTTTTATCTACTGTGCCACATAGCTGCCTCTAAAGGCATGAGATCTTGTGTTTCTGCATGTTTCATTTTCCTCATGTATAATTCTGGTGCTCCCTATCCTACAGTATTTTGATGAGGGAGCATTTATAAACCTTAAAGTGCCCTCCATTATAAGGGAGTCTTCTGTTTACAATTAGCACCTCACAACCGGGCTGGCTTGTTAACATTGCCAAGTCATCTCTCTCTCATCATTATTCATGTTCCTTGCTAAAGCTGGTTCCACCAGGAATTGCAAATAACCATTTTGTCTTGATCCTTTCACATAGCTCTTATCTACTTTTTATTTTGAATTCTGTCGTATATTTCACATTTAGCAGAATCCGAAAGCACACAAGAATTTTATACACTGTAAAGTTGGACAGAGTTCATGTTACGGTTGTGGTCTTTTTTCCCTCTTGTGTTGTAAAATCCAGAGTGAGAGATTGTAAATTGTGGCCTTGGTACATCATAGCCATACAACCCTAAACAAATCTCATTAACCTCTCTGGGACTCAGTTTCCTTCTCTCTCGAATTAAAAGTCTTGTTTCTCTATGATCTCTGAGATCCTTTGAAGTTGTTGTGTTGTGGTTGTAATATTCTGTTTTCAGGGTTTTTGTTTTTCTAGCTTGAAGATGTTTTGAGATTATTTTATTCTTAGATTTCTCTCAGCTTCAGTAATGTATGATTCGTCTACTGCTTGGTTCTGTTCACTTCCTGTGCTGTAGGGGGCTACAATAGCTTAGTCGTTGTCTGGGAATATGGGCAGTGCAGTAAGGCCTGATGCATGCATTTGATGGGCAGTGCTGGCCTCTAACACAGACATTCCTTCAGAAGGGTGGGCTGCTACCCTGATGCTGCTGGTTTCCTCTTCAGAAATCCCATATGATTTGCAGTATTTAAAAATAGACAAATGAAAGGAAATTACCTGTTCTCTTTGCCATATGAGGCAGCTCTAAAAATATCACCCACAGGACCCCTATGGAACACTTGCTTTCCAAAGGTCTCTCTCTCCTCCCAGGTTCAGGTGGTGAGAATTAGTATGATGCCTGCTTGTGTCCTCCACTGCCACATGCATCTCTCCCCAGTCATGTGTCATAAAGATCAGCGTATAGCCAATATCTAAGTCAGTAACGACAAACCAAAGCATAGAGAGGAAAGTGTGATACATTTAAAGGCAAGGAAGACCTACATTTCAGTCCCACCGCTGACATTTACTAGCTGTGAGTTAATATATGTGAAGCACTTTTTAACATCTTAAAGTGCTTTATAAATATTCAGATTACTATTTAAAGCGCCTGAGTTATATAGCCCATAGAATGCCAGACTTGAAGTCAGGAAGAATTGGTCTATACCTGCCCCAGACACTTATTAGCTGTGGATCCTGGGTAAATCACTTAAGTTCTCAGAGAGGCAATTTTCCTTATGTGTAAAATGGGGATAGTACTAGTACCTACATCACAAGGTTATGAGGACAGCTAGGTGGTACAGTAGATATAACATTGGGCTTGGAATCAGGAAGGCTCATTTTCATGAGTTCAGATCCAGCCTCAGACACATATTAGCTGTGTGACCCTGGGCAAGTCACTTAACCCTGTTTACCTCAGTTCCTTGGCTATAAAATGAGCTGGAGAAGGAAATGGCAAACCATTCCAGTATCTCTGCCAGGAAAACCCCAAGAGAGCCAGACCTAACTGAAATAACCGAACACCACCACAAGGTTATCATGAGGATCAAAGTGTTTCAGAATATTAGCTTAAGTGCTTCAAAAATGTTAGCTTCTTCTCTTCCTCTTCCCGTTTTAACTCTGAGCCTCACTTTTCTCTTCTGTAGAATCAACATAGTAGTACCTACTTGACATGGTTGTTGTATGGATCAAAAGTGCTAGTGTATGTAGAATATTTCACAAACCTGTATAGACACCAGCTTTTAGTTGTGGTAGTTGGCATATAGTTTATACACATAGTAGTATGTAGTTACTCAGCCAAAGGCAGGAGAGCAGTCATCAGAGATGTTAATTGTATTTACTTATGTAAATGCTATAAAGTTTTTATAAAGTTCAACTTTTAGAGAAAGGTATGGTGAAAGTATTATATTTTACAGTGAAGGAAACTGAGGCTTCATATTCTAACCTAGGCAGGTCTTCTCATTCTCAGTGTAGGTGTGGTGCCCACCCCTTTACCTTGTTGGAATGTGGATGAGGGGAGATTCATGTTCCAGGTATAATACACCCTGCTTTTTTATGTATTACTTTAAGGTTTAGACTATTTTTTTTTCACAATACCTTTTTTAGGTTAACATGCAGATATTATTATCATCTTCTTATCTTTAAATTGGAACAATAATATTTATTTGTTTGAGTATTTTTATGGGACAGCTAGATGGCCCAGTGGATAGAACGCCAGGCCTGGAGTTAGGAAGACTCATCTTCCCAAATTCAAATCTGCCCTCAGATACTTACTAGCTACGTGATCCTAGATAAGTCACTTACCCCTGTTTGCCTTATTCTTCCTGTCTGTAAAATGAGCTGGAGAAGGAATAGCAAACTACTCCAGTATCTTTGCCAGGAAAATCCCAAAGAGGGGTCACAAAGAGTGGGATATAATTGAACAATAACAACAAAATAATATTTGCATTATATACGTTATAGGATTTTTTTCAGAAAAGCATTTTGTAAATCATAAAATACCATAGAAATGTGGCATATTATGATAGTTTTTGTTGAGTTGTTCAGTTGTGTCTGACTCTTCATGAAACAATTTGTGGTTTTCTTGGCAAAGATACTGGAGTGGTTTGTCATTTCCTTCTCCAGATCATTTTATAGATGAGGAAACTGAGGCAAGCAGGGTTAAGTGACTTGCCCAAGGTCACCCAGCTGGTAAGTGTCTGGGGCTAGATTTGAACTCAGATCCTCCTGACTCCAGGGCCAGCATTCTATCCACTGTACCACCTAGCTGTCCTAGTTAATAAACTAATAAGATTAATATTACTTTATATTAATAAATATTAATAATGTTAACATTTTCATTAACATTAGTTAGTAGACTAATAAGATCAATAAGATTAATGTTACTTTATATTAACAAATATTAATAACATTAATAAATAATAAGACATCGTAAAGCAATTTATGAAAACTAACTAGTGCATTGCCTGATAGACATTTTCACAAATGTCAGGTTATCACCTGGTCTTGTTTTTATAAACTCTAGTTGGTACATCTGGGCAAGGATTTAAGATTTCATTTTATTTTTTTATCTCATACTTTACTCTTTTTGCTGAGCTAGTTCCACTGCTGCCCAAAGCATTTGACCTTTACCTTTATGAGAATAGTCCAAGAGATGAACTTAATGAATTATTGTCACAAGACACAGTTGTGGCTCAGAGCCATGGTGACATATGTACTTTAAAAAAAAAAGTATCTAAGGGTGCTAAGATCAAGACTAGCAAGATATTGTTAAGATTAGAGGTGTCACATGGGGTACACATAGTACATGTGTGTGTGTGTGTATATGTATGTAAAATAGTTTCTGTTGACTTGTGGCCTGGTCCCAGGCTTGGAACAAGGAGGGGTGACCCCTAAATGTATGGGTGCATAGTTTAGGGACCCCAAATTAAATGTGTTAAAATACCCTTTTGCTGCCAAATACCTACTCTGTTAGTTTTCTTGCAGCTGTTGGATCATTGATCTTTCTCTAAAAGATACAGCCATGTGGTTCCATTTTCCAAGTCCCAAGTCCCCTTTCATTTTAGATGTGTTAGCTCTTTAACTCATCATGCCTCATTCCATGGGCATGAAGGAACTCAAGAGATGCCAACATGGGTTTATTGAGTGCTAACATGGTGCCGGAGCCCTGTTAAAAATTGAAAAGAATTTAAGATATGATTGTTGCCCGCCATGAATTTGTAATCTATTTGGGTAGAGAAGACAAGCATGCATAGAAAAGGCTAATGTCTAATCTCTCATGAAGAGAGGACAGACTAGGTCTGTGTGACTTTAAAGAATTAAACTAGGCCCAGCAGGTAGAAGAAATAAGGAGAGAGATTTGATATGTGAGAGAACTCCCTAATAATTAGGGCTGTCCAGATGTAGGTCATATAGGACAGTGAACTTAGTGATTATCCCTTCTATCCTTCTCATTTGGGGGGGGGGAGGAATAAGCATTTACATAGTACCTACTGCGTGAAGTGCTTTTTACAAGTATTATCTCATTTGATCCTCACAACAGCCTGTGAGGTAAGTGCTGGCATTGTCCTCCTTTTAAGGTTGAAGAAACTAAGGCAACCAGAGATTAAGTGATGTAGCCATAAGTCACACAGCTAGAGAGTGTCTAAGGCTGCATTTGAACTCAGACCTTCCTGACTCCAGGCCTAGCACCCTGTTCACTGTGTTATCTAGAGAGGTTAAGTAACTACCAGTGTCACACAGATTATAAGTAGATGAATCAAATCCAGATCCCTTCAGTCCAAATTCAGGTTTTTTTCTACTATGCTACACTACCTTTTTATGTAGTGAACTCCCTATTCCTGGGAATCTTGAAACTGGTGAATGCACACACACACCCCCACTCCCCATCAAATTAAATGTTGTCGAATTAGTGGTTCTTATAGGGTCAGAACAAATGACCTCTTCATTCACTTCCAGCTCAGTTTCTGTGATTTGGTTATTCAATTCATTCCAGAGCTGTGTGAACTTAGGCAAGTTACCTAACTTTCTGGATCTGTTTTCTCATCGGGGAAATGATATTGAACCATTTAATCTCTTAATTTATCTCCCAGTTCTGTGATTCTATGGTCCTTTGCTAAATAAATACAATGCTATTGTACAGAAGTCTAAAATCCATTCTTAAGTACCATATTTTGATAGGATTTTATTTACAGCTTTTGTGTCAAAATTCGTTAGTAATATTGGTCTACAGTTTTCTTTCTTTACTTCATCCTTTCTTGGTTTTGGTATTATGACACAATTTCTGATGCTATTTTAGCGAATTGTTAAGCTTTTCAAATTTTAATCCTGAATCCTCTGCCTTTATTCAGCAGTTATGATGAAAATATTACCTGTGCCATAAAGGCTCCTGTTTTTTGCCCAGAAGTTTACTTTTAGGTTCCTTTTTGGTGTTATCAAAAATGGTATTATTTGATGTTAGCCTGATGGTATTCCAGGGTCTTTGCCTACAGGTGTCATTGTCCTGGGATCTCTGTCTCTCTTCTCTCTAAACTGAATATCTTTAAAAAGTTTATCTGAAGCTGTTTTCGTGCTATGCTTGCCTCAAGTAGTTTGTGCTTTTTTCCCTGGGTATAAAAAATTAAAGCTGTACCTCTGTAAGAGAGAAGTCAGAGTAGTCTGGAATAATCAGGGAAGACTTTACAGTGGAAGCGGAATTTGAGCTGGATCTTGAAGGGTGAGGAGAATTTAAATAAGCAGATCATGAGCCCAGGGAGGAGCCTCTTTGGGAAGCACCGATCAAGACATAAATCCGATTGAAAATTCGATTATCTTCTTCCTTTCTTCAAAACAGGTGAATGCTTCCAAGTACATCACAGTTGAACTTTTGTGTTTCTTTTTGGTAGCTGGACAAAATAGAAGGTGTATTTGAGAAGCCCTCAGATGAGGTCATCAGGGAGATTTCCAAGGCCCTTCGGCAAGCACTTGGTGTATCGCTGTTTGGGATCGACATCATTATCAACAACCAGACGGGACAGCATGCAGTCATTGATGTCAACGCATTCCCAGGTAAAAGCTGCCCAGCTTCCCAAAGTCATGAGCCCTTTCTATTTGCTGATGGGCTGTTTAGCTAGTTAACAGACCGTCATTCTCTTTTCCCCTAGACCTGGCCAGCTGTCTATTATATTATGTCTATTGATCATCTTACTCAGTCCTTTCATTTTACAGATGGAAAAACTGAGTTCTTAAGAGCAGAAGTGACTTAGAATTAGAGGATTTAATTCTAGAAGTGTCCTTGGATATCATCTAGCTCTAGCCTGAACTGAGTGTTAGGTTAAATGTTTTGCCCAGAGTCACACAGCGACTAAGAGGCAGAGCTGGTACAGGTGTACCTCAGAGATTCAGTTCTAGACAATTGCAGTAAAGCAAGTATCACAATAAAACAAGTCACATGAATTTTTTGGTTCCCCAGTGCATATTAAAGTTATGTTTACACTATACTGTAGTCTATTAAGTATACAGTAGTATTATATCTAAAAAGAAATGCACATCTTAATTAAAAGTTACTTTATTGCTAAAAATGCTCACCATCATCTGAGCCTTCCGTGAGTCATCATCTCTTTGCTGGTGGAAGGTCTTGCCTCAGTGATGATGGCTGCTGACTGATCGGGGTAGTAGTGGTTGCTGAAGGTTGGGGTGGCTGTGTCAATTTCTTAAAATAAGATGACAATGGAATTTGCCAGATGAATTGACTTCTTCTTTTCACTTGAATACTTAGAGGTCATTGTAAGGTTATTAATTGGCTTAATTTCAATATTGTTATGTCTCAGTGAATAGGGAGGCTCAAGGAGAGGGAGAAAGATGGGGAATGGCCAGTTGGGGGAGAAGTCAGAACACACACAGCATTTATTGGTTAAGTCTTCTGTCTTATATGGGTGCAGTTCATAACACCCCAGAATAATTATAATAGCACCATTAAAGATCACTGATCACAGATCACCATGACAGATATAGTAATGAAAAAGTTTGAAATAGAGGGAGAATAACTAAAATGTGACACAGAGACACAGTGTGAGCACATGCAATTGGGGGAAAATGGCACCAATAAACTTGCTCAATATGGGGTTGCCACAGGCCTTCAGTTTGTTAAACAAACAAACAAAAAAGCCCCACAATATCTTTGAAGCGCAGTAAAGCAGAATGCAATAAAACAAAGTATACCTGTATTCACTCCCAGGTCCTCTGATTCCAAAGCCGTTGTTCCTTCCTCTTCCTGGAGACTGTATCTGTATCTTAGCAGGACATGCTGTTGGTCATAAGGGCAAGAAAGGGAGTAGATTATATCAGTGCTATCAGGCAACTTATAAGGTATACGCTGCTGCCTCTTCAGTGACCCAGTAATGCCAATTTCTGTAGCAAGGGTAATAGATTGTTGTCACCGTTAGGATTGCTCAGAGAGATATATGCACAGCGTGGTGGAGAGAGGAGCTGGCCTTGAAGCAAGGGAGACTTGGGTTCAAATCTTGCCCTCTTGTGACTCTGGCAGCTCTCTAAGACTTGCAGAGAAGGTGATGTCTTACATTAGTAGAGGGAGTTTACTCACCTGGGAATTCCCTATACAAGTAAAATCCCAGGTCCAGTCCCTAACCCTAAACTGATGATTGTTCTCCATATGTAAGCCACCAGGAATTCAGTGTTATATAATGGGAATAGCTCGTGGCTTGGAATTGATAGAAGTCCTGGGTTTGAATCCTCGCTCTGATGCTTATTTTGTGACCTTGAGAAATCACAAATTTTCCTCTGATTTTCAGTTTTCTTATCAGAATAATAACAATTTTTAAATTTCTTCATGGAATTGTCGTATAGCTCAGGTGAAACAATAGTCCCTACAGCACTTTGTGACCGTTTAGTGTTGTATAAACATCCCCCGTTATTGTTATCATTGTCATTACTGTGCTGTTTGCTGGGGCAAAAATTCTGTGGCTTGCCTAGACAGTGGTTGAGAGTTTATATCAATTATAGTTGACACATCAGACTTGCATAGCTCATGCTTTGATAGACAGATGTGTAAGATGTTTGTGCTGTCTCTTATAGCTCAGGAGGGATGCCATTAAACACAAAGGCCTTTTATGTGTTTACTGATGTCACATTTCTGCTTTGTCCATTTGAGATCATGTTTCCCACTTGAGTTTATGAGCTCCTATAGTGAAAATAAGATTTGGGATATACAGGTCCTGGGTGTGAATGTGTCTTTGCCACTAACTAGCTGTGCGACCTTGGATTACTTACTGTAGGCCTCAGTTTCTTGCTTTGTAAAATGAGGGACTTGGACTAGGTGATCTTTTCAGCTATAAATCCTTAAAGGAAGCCCAGGTGAAGGGTTGGGAGGTTTGGAATCTTTTGTGCCTCTAGGCTTCCCATTCTGGGCCACATCAAGGGCTACTCTAGTTAGAGTGTAAAAGGGCATCTCGTTGCAAAAAGACATGGAAGGATCATAAGCCATGGAATTCTACCCAACAGTGCTTAATGTGTTTTTTCCTTTATAGTCATAGATCATACATTTAGAGTCAGAAAAGACCTTAGAAAACATCCAGTCCGACCCCTACGTGGTTAGGTGGCCGAGTGGATAGAGCACCAAGCCTGGAGTTAGGAACACTCATCATCCTCAGTTCAAATCCCACCTCAGACACTTAATAGCTATGTGACCCTGCAGAAGTCACTTAAACCTGTTTGCCTCAGTTTCCTCATCTGTAAAATGAGGTGGAAAAGTAAAGGGCAAACCACTGCAGTCTCTTTGCCAAGAAAACACCAAGTGGGGCTGCACTGGATATTATAATGATGATGATGATGATGATAACATTTTTATAGCACTTCCTATGTGCCACACACTGCAGGAAGTATACTGCAAGTATTTATTTACTGCTTTTTTGGTGAGGCACTCGGGGGTTAAGTGACAGCTGCCCCCAATAGGGAATAAGAATTTTATTCATTCATTCATTCGTTCATTCATTCATTCATTCATTCATTCATTCATTCATTCATTCAGCTAGGCAGTGGGGTTAAGTGACTTGCCCAGGGTCACACAGCTAGTAAGTGTCAAGTGTCTGAGGCCAGATTTGAACTCAGGTCCTCCTGACTTCAAGGCCAGAGCTGCTTCACCATCCACTGCATCATCTAGCTGCCCCCTTTCCTAATATGCCATTTTATAATTATCTCATTTGATCCTCCTAAGTCCCCTGTGAGGTAGGAAATGGGGACAACTCATAGCACCTGCCTTCCAGGGTTGTTTTGAGGATCAGATGAGGTAATTATAAAGCACTTAGCACAGTGTCTGACACATAGTAAGCTCTATAGAAATGTTATTGTCATCATTAATATTAACATCTAGTGTAACCTCTTCATTTTAGACATGAGGAAACTTGAGACCCAGAGAGCTTAGGTGATTTGCCCAAAGCTATGTAATTAGTAACAGAGCTATTATTATCCCCATTTTACAGATGAGGAAACTGAGGCAAATAGGGTTAAGTGACTTGTGCAGAAGACAGAGGTTAAGTGAATTGTTCAGGGTTACATAGCTAATAAATCCAATTCTCTTCAATCTATTTTGTCATAACTCTTTTGCCTTTGTTCACCCTAGATCATTGTTCTGGAACAGTCTGACTGTAGATTTTGTCTGTAAACTGCCCTGCTCTTCAGATGTAAACCCTGAAAGGAAAAATGACAGCAACAGGTTTTCTACCAATTTTCAAGTGTATCTGATTTCACCGTGAGCTGGAGGTGCACAACAGTCAGAGAGCAGATCAGTTTTCAGCTTGCGGGGGTGTGTGTGTGTGTGTGTGTGTGTGTGTGTGTGTGTGTGTGTGTGTGTTTTCCACTTACCTTGTTGATTCAGGCTTCCTTATGAAGTAAAAAACAAGCTTTTAAGCCTTTAGAAAATCTGAGTCAGGATGAAATTGAATAATAAATGTGGTAAAAAGGCAGAACAGACCCTCTTAACTGTCATTGGAGAAGTGCTTCGCTCAGGGATGAAAATTTTGCTTCTCTCTCTTAGGTTCTTGGTGCCCACTTTGACCCGGAACAGAGGAAGGTCCTGGGGCTGGGGCTGATTGAAATAGTCTGCCCTAGCTGTGAGAGATCCACTGTACCTTAACAGAAGAAGCAAGGCAGGGTACTGGAATCAGTCAGTCAGCAAGTATTAATTAAATGCCTGCTATGTGCCAGGTAAAAAGGAGGAAGGGAAAGCCCTCACAGTTGGGGGGCTTAGGAAAGGCTGCACACAGAAGGTGGTGTTTGAGCTTTGGCTTAAAGGAGGAGAGGAGATTCTGAAGTCCAGTGAAGGACAGAGTGTATCATTCCAGGCAAGAGTGCCCAGTGAACTTAGAAAAATAGGATGGAGCTGATTATGTGGGCTTTGAAAAGCTAAAGAGAGGAGTTTATTTTTTATCCTTGAGACAGTATGATGCCTCTGGGGTTGGTTGAGTAGGAGTAATCACCTGATTATGTCTGAGCTTGAAGAAAGTCATTTGCTGTGGATAGAGTGGACTGGAGGGGTCAGAGACAGATTTGAGGCAGGGAGTCCAAGTAGGAGGCTGTTGTAGAAATCTAGTTAAGTGGTAATGAGGGCCTGGACTGAGCTGGAAGGTGTTAGGTGGTAGAGTAGATAGATGTGAGCTTCAGTTTTCTTATCTGTGAAATGGGAGATGATGCCTGTACCATCCACCTCCTAGGGTTGCTGCAGGGGTCAAATCAGGTAACTGCCACAGTGCAGTGAAAACTGCCTTGTGCAATCTCCACACTGAAAACTGCCCACAAAATGTGCGGAATTGTCGCTTCTACTGTGGAGTCATCTATTTGGATCCTTGTGCTTGGTTGCATTTGCTAGGGGCAATGTGGTCTAGTTGCTAGAAGACTGGCCCTTCACCAGCATTCACTTTCTATCTCCACTGAGGACAACAGCATCAGTGACCCTGAGCTAGTTTCTTTGATCCTTCTAGAGTCTGCCTGGATGCTTATCTTAGAATGTTTTGTTTATGTAGCATTCTCTGTAAATGGCTTAGACGTTGTTTTTG